ATGGAAAGCCTCTTGGAGAGCATGGGGTGAGTTGGCTCACACACTTCCTAAACAAGTGTAACGGCTGAAGGAAGGATGCCAGATGCGTGGAGGAGCAGCACAATCGTCCCCATCTTCAAAGAAAGGGGACGCGACGGAGTGCTCCAACTACCGCGGCATCAAGTTGACTCCCCATACCATGAAGCTGTACGAGCGCCTGGTCAACACTAGGCTGAGGGAACTTGTCCCTATCTCGCAGGAACAGTTCGGCTTCATGCCCGACAGGTCCGCCTGATGCCATCTTCATCGTTAGACAGCTGATGGAGAAGTACCGAGAGAAGGCGACCCTGCTACCTAGCCTTCCTGGACCTTGAGAAGGCATTCGACCGCCTGCCTCGGCCTGTACTCTGGAGAGCGCTTAGAGAACGTAACGTTCCAGAGCACCTAGTCTCCATAGTGAAGGACATGTACGATGGGGCTAAAGCAGCTGTACGCACCCCTCACGGCTTGACAAAGGAGGTAAACATTACGGTTGGGGTACACCAAGGATCAGCCCTCAGCCCGTTCCTCTTCCTCCTGACTCTGGATGTCATGGCAAAAAACTCATGGAGGAACCATCCTCTACGCTGACGGCATCGCCCTGATAGAACGTAAAGACCAAGTTCCTGAGCTCCGAAGAGTGTACCGAACCTATCGTAGACCGCCATGGCGAGAGCATCGAAAGGGTCGAGGGGTTCCAGTACCTGGGGAGCGACCTAGTAGCTAACAGCAGCGTGGACCAGGCAGTGAATACCCGAATCATCGAGCCTGGATGAAATGGAGGGAGTCCACGGGCATCCTGTGCGACCGACCAACCCCAGCACCCCCGAGCTGCAGTAGCTGCGACACATGTAACAAGGATTCAGTAAATGTGTACCATAGTTCCCCGAACCGAGGTGGCACAAAACGATATCCGAGATGAGTAAATGCTTCGATGAAAACCGTAAGCCACCCGGTGAAAGGATTCTGATGGTGACAGGAGAAAGTGGGTAGAAGGCGTTCGATCCGCATTCATAAAATTTCGCTCGTCTTTTTTTACAGCTAAATTAATTAGCATTTACAGATTTATGAACCCCCGATTATATGAATAGCGTTCTTTGTCAAGGAAGGTAGGCAGTCGCTGTAAAAGTGAACTGAAAAAACTACCTTATCAACTTCATGTACATGACCTTGAAACACGTATTTCATCATTCGATTGTCGATGTCGGCCTCGCCAAGGAATTCATAGCCATCATCCTGCAAAAATAACTCGTGTAGTTCTCCTTAAGAGGTTGTCTAAACAAAGAGAGAGTATTGTACGCCCAGTGCAGAGTATTGCAACATATTGCTACCTGGAAGACGGCCGGTGCGAGCCTTGGGCTGCACGGATTCGATGGCGCTTTCAAAGAAACTGCTGTGGCCACATCAAGATCTCTGGCCAAAACCCACACGAATCTGAAAAGGGCGATTTTCCGATAAACCATATATTTCCCCTTGAGGAAAGCTCTCAAAGCGTATTTTACTGCTACATAGCTGTATGGAACAATCTTCCCGAGAGTAAAGGTAGGCTGTTCTCTATTAGTGCCCCGAGGCTCAAAGATAAGAAACAAGAGCGCTACGGGGCCCTACTTGGTTACTATGCGTTTCTTTCCGTTTGGAATGAAGAAGATGATAAGTTCGCGCGTAGCCATAGTGGATGTAGACTCCCTTATTCCTTACTGTCTTGTCTTCTCGCCAGGTCTCTCATCAGCGCTCATAGAGATTCTTCTTTTCAGGCTTGTGCCTTATTGAACCAATTACAAAATTGAGAACTTCCCTAGATGGGGAGGTGGAGGAAAAGGGCTTGAATTGAGACAGGTCGGTTTTTTGTCTCAACTGCGAACCATGCTTTGCTCCATTGTATGGGACAAGGCACCCCTCTTCATACATAATCCCACTTATGACAAGCTTAAAATGGTGGGATGTTGCCTCCAAAATGAATTTTCACAAGTCCATGCGATCCTACCTATCATCATATAGAGTCCGCTTAGGTATGTTGGCATGTGTATGCGGCCGGTGTGTCCATGAAATTCATAGCGCCCCCGTCCGCAGTGGCAGATGACACGTTTGGTTCCTAAAAAAAAAAAAAAAAAAAAAAAAAAAAAAAAAAAAAAAAAAAAAAAAAAAAAAAAAAAAAAAAAAAAAAAAAAAAAAAAAAAAAAAAAAAAAAAAAAAAAAAAAAAAAAAATAATGATGGGTCTGCCGTCACGGAATGCTAATAGCTGATAAGATCTGTTAGCGTTAGAAGAGGAAGGGGTCACCAAGTCACATGGCCGCGGATCACAGCAAACAGTGTCGAACTTAGTTGCATGTTGGTCAAGGTACTCGGACAGCAAGAATTAGTTGGTGGACGGTACAATAATCTTATCAGCCCACAAGATTGGTGAAAGGCGAGCGTTAAAAAGGTTAGAGCTCACCTTAATCCACTGCCGGCAGTCACAGCAACAGTGGGACGCTAGATCTAAGATATGACCCTGGGTATGGTGTAGGAACATTACTGTGGGTGACAGGAAGTGATATCAAATGATAAGATTTGATAAGGGGTGTCAGAATGGGAAGGTACTCACATCCATAACGCGGGACACAGCGTCAGATAGGCGTTGATTCTGACATGTGATTTAGAAGGTGAGTTAGGGACATCAACGGTGGGTGACGAAAATCGATAACAAGTGATAGAGGATGATAAGAGACGTTGCAGTCATCATTGCTGCTTGAGGTATTGAAGCTTTTACACTTACAAATGATAAGGATTTAGTGATAGGGACATCGATGACAAGAGACAGGTGGTCATATCAACTGATAACGATAGATTTAGATGATCTACACTGAATTTCTCGTCATTTCCTACCACATTAATCAGCACGTATCAAAGGCTCAGTGCGTGAACTCTTTACGTGAGTGTCAACGGGATCATGATTGTCCACTGAGCTATGATTATGTTTCTTAAATGCATGCAGTGAAGTCGAGCGGAGGTGGGGGGTTTCCAAAAATTTCGTGGACCCCATTGTGCGATGTGTGATGTGGGCAGCGTCGCAAAAGAGCAAGCCAGCTTCCAGTAATGAGTGCTTCTGTTGCTGCACCGGTGGTGAGGCTGCAGGGCTCCGCCGTGTGCAGAAAACTTTACCACGAGCGAAGCAAAGTGATCTCCTTTCTTCCACTGCTGCAGTTGTTCTTCTTTAGAGGGTAATAAAGCGTTGCATGTGGAGCGGCTTTTCCGGAATACTTCAACTATAAGCCGCTATCATATCACAACGACCATCAATCGAATGGTGCAACTTTTTTAAGGTTGATAATTTAGCTAGAGGGATGAGACGCGCATTGTTGCTGACAGATGTAGTGTTGTTTCTACCTTAAATTCTACATTTCCGCTTTCACATGACCCTTGACCGTATAGCACATTTTGCGCGTCCTAATTAAAACTACGGGAAGAGCGCCTGGCAAGTCCAAGACGCCCCGGCGTAGCCGGGTCGTGAATCAAAAGAGGAGCGCCTGGCCACAGCCGGGCGATCCGAGTGGGATTTCATTGCCGAACCTGAATATTACAGCCCAATGAAAAATGCAAAAAATTAGCTCGAGCGAATGGATGATCAGAATGATGATAGCTAGCTTGCACGGAGTCATCAACCGTTAAAATATCCTTGCTCAAATATCCTTGCATATTTTGGCTACTTCTGAATGTCGGCTATGAGATAGCCTTCTAGATCCAGTACCACTCCATCTACTGTGTTCAGACGCTTCTTTATATCAAATCACGTACTTGAAGTTGTTGCTCTCAGGCGTCCCCACGTATTGAAGCAGTCGAACAGCTTCCTTAGCCATATCTGGCTGTGTCAAGTTCTTTATTCTGCCATCCTGGAAGAGAGCAATGTTCTTGGACAAATAAAAGGCTTCCAATTTTCTAGGTTCCCGCGGGTATCCTACATGCGCCCATGTTCCGCCCATTAAAGGCAGTTGGCACGATAAATCCCCAAGACGAGTAGGATTAATACGCCTGGCAGGACGGAATTCCGCGACCCTGAGCAGGCGCTGCATAGCGCCTTTTCCAAGGAAGGTGCCCTTATAAGGGCCCTATCAAGCCACAACATACCGACCCAAACGCCCGCCACGCCCGCCCGCCCACAAATGGACGACCGTTCCTGACGCTCGTATTGATTCATTTGCTAAGCAAATTATGAAGCGAAGGGATTGGTATGAAGCGGCCGTGATGCTGCATGGATATATGAGTACACATATGCAGCCGTATCTTCGGTAGCGGTTATTGGCAAGATGCCTACGGGAAACTCGTCCAAAATCGATTTTCAAGTCACTGAGAACGGAGCTTTTTCTTCGCAGGATTTTGACCGTTTCACTCCGTTCTTTCGCCATTTCCCCACTATATAGCGCCCTACTAGCATTTTAGGCCGAGTACCAAGCCATCATGCCAACTGCCTTCAAGTGTATCCAAAACTGACGACGGGAAAGTAGAACTGTCGCTAAAGCTGTAACGAGGTTCAGCCACATTGTGGATAACTTTGACTATCTAGATTGCAGAACAGGGCACATCATTGGTTGGGGATTTCAGTCGAGTCTGTACGACCCCCCCTTTTTTTGGGAGTTGGTACGACCCCCCCCCCAGCCCTCTGTCCTTCCTCACCGAATCGAGTCGCTGGGGGGGGGGTAAATAGAAATGTGAAAGCAAGAAAAATCGCGAGACAATACGACCCCCTCTACCAATTTTCAGATTTTCTCCAACTTCCTGCCACTTTTTTCCAAAATTTCCCGAAAACTTCCTACTTTTTACCAAAAATTTTGCTGTCGAGCGGGTAGGGTGGGAGGCCTGGAACAGGAAAATCACAAAAAAGCAACCACCTCTCCCTACAACGCCAAAACGTAAATACGACCCCCCCTCCAAAAATGACCAAGTACGACCCCCCCCCCTTTACAACGTCCATGAAGCGAGAAAAATCAACTATCAAAATAAATTTTTCCCAACCCAAATACGACCCCCCTCTCCTGCGGCCAAATACGACCCCCCGCCCTATTGGGGATTCCCCAACAACGATGTGCCCTGGTGTAGAACATGCAGATGCAGAACATCACGTGGCTTAGCCCCGTTGCAGAGTGCGTTCCCATCCCTTGAGGCACATAGCGCCACAAAATCTCAAAGGCGCCAATGCTTTGGTATGTACAGTCCTCATCATTGCGGACCGGTGGGGCGTGGCAGTGCGGCTGCGTTTGGTGCGCGGTTGCCAAAGTCGTTCTGCACCAGTTTTTGAAGCGGGCAAGTGCATTACTGTATTATATCCTTCGTATCACTCGTTTTCTACCACTTTTTGTCGCATACGCGTTGCAACAAAAAAGGCTGAGAACGGCTTCAACAGTGTGCGCACTCCTTCTGGCTGGACACGCCCCACCGGTCCGCAATGATGAGGACTGTACAGTATGTGCTATTAGAACGAAAAGTGTTTTTACACATCCAAAAGTGGTCTCAAGTACGAAAGCAGTTAGAAGGTAAAAAAAACTGATGAATCACCTATTCCGCTGAATAGTTTGCAACCAAAGACTCACCCGAATGAAGCTGCCCTCGACGTGTAACCTTGGGTCCAGGTATATGGTTCCCCAATGTGGCGCTGCACCTCTTGGATTCCTAAAAAAATAATTGTTATGAACAAAGACTATAATTGATTGGGAAAAGCTCATAGGCAGCAAAAGGCTTGTAATGCAAAAAACGTGGAAAGGCCCCGTTCTTGCCTATCAGTTGCACCACCTTGCGGTACCGAAGTAGGCGCTAGAAATGCTCGTGCGCGGCATCTGCACCAACATCTGATCGATGGAAGGTGGCGGCAAGGCCTCGTATCAAGGTAACTAGATAGAAAATACTCTGCTAGTTTGTGGTTTCCGCAACGTGGAACTAGAGCCATACACCCATGCGTTCATAGCTTGTGCCAGACTAAAGAATCGAGAAGTTGTAGGTGACACGAGAACATGTAGGAAAGGCCTTGCTATGTGATTTGGGACAGAAAGTAGAAGATGTTAATCTCAAAAGATGAGGCAAATGGGTGCACAGCGCCTAATCCAAAACTGCCACACCCTTTGCACAAAAAACTTCGATTACCCACCCCGGAGTACCTGTCTCGCAACCCTTACTTTGTTTCTTCCTGCACAATGGATAAACGTACTGGATCAGCGCCAAGGAGTGCGAGAGTATAGCCATTATCGAAGGAGAGATCATCAAATAATTAATCATTCTTACACCTTCCCTACTGGGCCAGGTTAGGACGCAGCCACACTGATTTACGAACTGGTGGGGCTTCAAAGCGTCATCGCGTCCAAATTGTAAGAATCAAAACAAAAAAGCCAATCAAAAATGAACATTTAATACTTACCAAAGGGCAACGTATTCCACCTGCGGCGGCATACTGTTTCGTTGCAGCGGCCGACCAAGGGCAATGACGGCTGTGGGCGG